CTCCCCCCGGTAGGTTTTTGTCGCTAACGGCACTTTTTTTTTCGGCAGACTTTTAACTAAAAAAAATTGAGACTGGCCACCATGACTGTCAGAAAACATCCCCTTAAAATCTCAGCTTTCTAGCTTTTGTGGTCTCCGAGTTACCAATTCACCCGCCAAACATTTTCATAAGCCCATATGCGAGAACCACGTGGGCTACGACGTCCATTTTGGGGTAGGGGTCCGTACATGCGTACGGATTGTTTCCAAAGTTTCAGTCTCGTATTTTTTGTAAGTCTTAAAATGAAAATTCGGTACAAAAGAACACACAGACACACAGACATACAGTCACACAAACACACACACACATAAAACCCTCGACAATATGCACTTTTGCATTGCCTAAAAGTAAATAATTGGTCAACGCACGGGCTGCCCGTGCAAAGATGCGTTTTTTGCATAGTTCCACGCAGTTTTTGTTGCTACCTGCACCGGCTTTTCCGGCAAATGCTTCTATCTAAACAAATTAAGACTGGCCGGCAGAACTGACAGAAAACACCCCCTTAAAATTTCAGCTTTCTAGCTTCCCTGGCTACTGAGTTAGCAACTTACTAGGAAAAAATTTTCATGGACCCGTGCGTGTTTGCCACGCTTACCCAAGAGTTGGGTTTGAGCTGAATGAAACTTAGGTGGACGGAGCATATCCTCTTAAAATTACAGTCCTTTAGCTTCTGAGGTACTCGAGTTATCAACTTGCCCGAAAGAAATTTTGGCGGACCCGTACGCGAGTACCACGCTTACCCGGGCGCACGAGTTGAGCTCAATAATACTCACATGGAGGGGGAACATCATCCTAAAATTTCAGCTTTCTAGCATCTCAGAACCCCGAGTTATGAATTTACGCGGGAAAAATTTTGGCAGGCCCGTACGTGGGTACCATGCTTACCCGGGACTGGGTTTGAGCTCAGTAATACCCGCCTGGACGGAGAACATCCTCCTAAGATTTCAGCTTTCTAGCTTCTCAGATCCCCGAATTATGGATCTACGCGAGAAAAATTTTGGCGGGCCCGTACGCGGGTACCACGCTTACCCGGGGGTTGGGCTTGAGTTCATTAGCATCTACTTGGACAGGGAACATTCCCTTAAAATTTCAGCTTTCTAGCTTTTCTGGTTCGCGAGTTATCAACTTACCCGAAAAAAATTTTGGTGAGCTCTTACGCGGGTAAGACCGCCCATTTCGGTGATGGGGGCCCATACGTGCATGCAGATTATGTCCCCTAAGTTTCAGCCCTGTAGTTTTTGCCGGTCTCGAGATGAAAAATCGGTACAAACAAACACACAGACATACAGACCCCTCGTCAATATGCGTTTTCTGCATTGCATAGCTGCAAAATAAAAAAGGACAAAACATACCAATATAATCCCACGGATAGTGCGGGCGGAAAAGTCTTGCGGACCATATGGAGTCCTGACGGCCATACATGAAAACAGCAACCATTACACTGACAAAGCCTTTCCCAGGCGCACAAAGCAACTGTGTCAATTCGCCACGACTTCGAGCTTCAGCATTCGCATAGAAGTATTTCACCAAGGCATTTACTGCTTCGCCCAGTTGTTGCTGTATTTCGTTTAGTCGCAGCCCTGAAAGTACAGCCGAGTACAGCATTCCTGACCATTTAAACTTACTGCTAAGACGGATGTAAAGAGCAGAATATAGAAATGCATTTTTGTTTGTTATCAATCGAACAACAAGATCAGACAGTATAGAGAAAAGATAAAGGAAACACAATGAATTACTCACCAGCTGTAAGGTTACTTTGATTTTGGCCCCACCTCAACTATCAACTTCTGCCTTAAAAACCTAATATAATTTCCTCTGCACAACACGATTTGGTCTTACTGACTGTGCCGACGAAGCACAACTGTGGAGCTGAGACGAGATGTAAAAAAGTTGATGGATGGAATTTATTTTAAATGTTTATTTTTATGCATTTTTGTATATATGCAAG